CAAGAAAGGACTAGGGACGCATCTTCAATGAAACAATGTGTTCTCATTTTCAAACAGTCTTAAAGCTAAACAAGGTGGGGCAGAGAAGGCACGCAATACAGTATCAGATACATTAAAGGAACTGTCTATAGTAAGAAGCACGCTCAATACAGGCTCCTTAGCCTCACTCAGCAGCCAGCAGCCAGGTTCCAGCAATTCACCTCAGGTTGAACACCATGAATGCTGCTTAGCTGGTAACAGATTTTCCAGGCTGTGGCTCCACCCTTGCCAGGTAGCTTCAAATTTTCATTCACCCAAATGGTGTACAAATGTACCAACTTTACTCATAGCTGAACAAGAAGAGATCAGAACTCAATTGCTGATGAACATGGTAGCTCAGGTAAATGGGAGACCTGGATTGTGTCCCTGGTTCCCAGGTCCAGTCCCAGTCAGGGAGCACAGTGCGCCCGGGAGAGTGAACCTGCGGACAGTGCTGTGCTCACTCCCCCTGTCTCTCCAAGAGTAAATCATTGTTTTGTTTTTTTAATGGGGATGGGGGAGAAAAGGGAGGAAGGAAGCAAAAAGAAAGGCTGGTTGTTTGAAGATGAGTACAACAACTTGGGGAGGGGGAAAGCCAATAGAAAACCCCAAGAGTTTAATACAGTACTGAAAAACACAAGTTTTTCAATACAACATCATTTCAAAGTAAAAAAACAATCAAGATTATGATGGTACAGCAGACTGGCAGCAAAAGCCTGCATCTATCCTCTCTTGAAACAGAGACGTGCTGTTGCATCTGGTCACACGCATCACTGCCCTTCAGGCACAAAGACTGAGACGGTTTGTCCCCCCTGCCTTCTACCATCACCAAGGCAAGTGAGTGAGCTGACAGGATGTGGGAGCATCACCTCTCCCAGTAAAAAGCTGTGCTGGGCCTCCACTAACACAGCTTTACGCCTTGGTTAATCCCTTCACAGCACTTAGCCTTGGTGTTTTTTAACCTGTAAAATGAATGGCTTTGATAAAAGACTTCTACAGGCTCCTTTAAATATGACTATTCTAGCTATGTAATTATCCCTGTGTAACTCACTACACTACACACGACATAAAAATGGCATGCATCAACAAGTCCTTACTTCATTTCCTGATATCCTTCTCCACCTATTCTTTCATTACAAAGGAACAACCAAGTTGGCATGATTCCAGACCCAGATGTTCAACTCCTGAGTCCCATGTCAGCGCACCTGGATTTAGTAGGTCAAAAGCAAATATTCAGACACTACGTCCTTTACTCAGGGAAGAGACATTTTCTTCTGGAAGCTGAATTCTCACATCCTGATTCAAAGCCTCAGCGGGGATCTTGGCAAAATGCTAACACTGATGTCAGCACAAATTCAAGAACCTTTTATCAACCCTTTAAAACAGAGTGTGTAAATGAAGAAGCTCCTCTCTCCCCTAAACATACAGGTCTGTGAGTAATATGCAATGTCTGGGGTCCCCATTCTGCTCTCCCAGGGACAGAAGAACAGAAAAGTGGGTGGGGACCACATGGCCCCAGTCTCCATACTAACAACCCTCAGGATTCTGGAGAGTCTGTCCAACTGGCTGGTGGTCCCCAGAGGGCCTGACAAACGCTGCTGGAGCAGCAGTGCCTGGAGGTCCAGAAGAAAAGAGACGGAATCACCCACGGAGAAGAGGGGATGAGAACTTCCATGAATTTCACTCTCGCCACTGGAACCAAACCTGTGGCTGAGAAGTACTATACTGCTAGCCTCTTAACCGTTAAATGGTTTGCCAAAGATGATCAGGGGTTTTTTCTGAGAAGACTTTCATGGTATCACAAAAGTACAAAGTAATTGGGGAAAAAAGATTTACTGGGGCTGATATGGAGTAACAAGTAAAGCTGGTGCTGCCCGCAGTCTTGGTTCAAGTCCCTACCGCTCCATTTCGGACCCAGCTCCCTATCGATGCACCTAGAGAAAAAGAAGCAGAAAATTTCTCCAAGTGCTTGGCCCCTGCATCTATGTAAGAGACCCAAAAGGGGCTCCTGGCTCAGCCTGTCACAGCCACTGACGCTGTGGCCATTTGGACAGTTGAGACAGTGCATGGAAGCTCTGTTTAAAATTTTATTTATGTATTTGGAAGAGTTACACAGTGAGAGAGAGCTTTCACCTACTGGTTCACTCCCCAAATAGCCACAACATCCGGGGTTATGCCAGGCTGGAGCAGGCAGCACAAGCGGTGACAACTTGCTGTGCCACAACACCAGCCCTCTTGTTCTGTAACTTTTTACTGCTCTAGAGTCTGCAGGATGTTGCCTCCGACTGAAATTAAGCAACGACCCCAAGGGAAAGAGAAGCAGAAACAAACTAGGAAAATCACCAAAATTTTAGAAGATGAAAGCAGACAAACAGCAACTATCTGAAATGAGAATTCTGAGTGCTGCAGACGGCAAGCCACTGAAGAACATCCCCAAAATTCAACCACTGGCAGTACCTGTCTCCATGCTCCGGCAAGCAGCTCAGAAACCTCCTTGGAGAGAGAAGACTGCAGATCTACTCAGCGGGCTCAACTACTAGACTTGAACTTGGGTAACAAGGGCACCATTTAGGGTGGGAGAGATTTCTTGAATGTCTATACACAAAAGGAAGAGCCTTCCCCTCAAACGGTAAGGCCAGGCTTACACCACCTAGAAAGATGCCTCAAGGGAGAGCTATGGACTCCCCATGTGTATCCATTACCCTATACTCCTAGCTCTCACAGTATGATGGCTGACCAGGAGCCACTTCTGGGCAACTTGACACAAATGGAAATTCTCAGGCACTTGCCAGCTCTACAAATGGGTCATGCTAGGCTCAAGTCCCAAAGTCAGTATTTTAAGAAGACCATCAGCTAACCCTACCGCCCAGTCAGGAAGGCCCACGAAAAAATAAACAATCCCACACCAAAAGGCTTCCCGCCAATTTTGCTTATTTGAAAAATAGTGTGGAGGCATGAGAAGTTTAACAAAGACTCTCATAAACAAGAGAGAGGCGAAAACAGAGTTCACGGAGCAGCCCTGGAGGAGAGTGGTGAGATGTGACCAGGCTTCTCCCTAGGCCCCACCACCTCACAGCTTGGAGCTACCCCTCAGCCTCCACACCCATTCCTGAGCCAGCCCATGTCCTGAACAGCACCAGCCTAAACCTTCATAAAGGTTCTTAATGCCTCCAGATCCTTGAAAAGAACACATTAATTCAGACTGACACTCCCCACCGAAACTACAGCTGGTAATTCCCTTGTCCTTTGGAATGAATAAAACATATTTTCATGGGAAAGCCATTTAAGAATTTTTGGGGGCTTGGTGGGGGTGGTCTAGCAGCTAAAGTCCTCGCCTTGAACATGTGGGATCCCATATGGGCACCGGTTCTAGTCCCAGCAGCTCCACTTCCCATCCACCTCCCTGCTTGGAAAAGCAGTCAAGGACAGCCCAAAGCCTTGGAATCCTGCAACCTCATGGGAGACCTGGAGGAAGTTCCTGGCTCCTGGCTTCTGATCAGAGCAGTACCAGCCGTTGCGCTCACTTGGGGAGTGAATCATCAGACGGAACATCTCCCTCTCTGTCTCTCCTCCTCTCTGTATATCTGACTTTGTAATAAAAATAAATAAATCTTTAAAATAAATAATAAATCTTAAGAAAAAAAAATTTCTGCCAAGTGTTTACTATGTTCTGTATTTGCCTTAGTCGATGAACAAGTGACCACAGGACTCTGGCAGGGGCTTCTCTGCTTTTCTGTGTCTCCTCGGCTCATCCTGGATCACCCTCAAAGCTGAAATCTTAACATGGGACATCTCCCTCATTACTGCTTTTCACCAGGGTTTACTCAGCAGATGTTACTGCCTCAACCACATTGTTCCTCTATTCACAAATCTCAAGTGGCCTTGACATCTCCCATCGCACAAAGCAGAGTGAACCCAAATTAAAAAAAACAACCACCACAAACTCTCTACCTATGCCACCTCTGCCTCCACCCTCTTCACGGACACCCACCAGGACAAGTGGACAGTGAAGACAAAATTCTGTCAGGTACCATCCAAGGGACAACTATACTTTTCTGTTAGTCCTCACAAACTGGGGCTTTGGGAGATTAAGGAAGTTACCCAAGGTCGTGACCACTAAGATTTTAATCCAAATCCTCCTTCCCAAAGCCATCCTCTTAACCATCCCACTCTAACACTTCAGTGATCTGATGCCAACATACGGAAAGGTTGCCTTAACCATGGTAAAGAGCCAGAAAGGCAAAAAGATATTTGCATCAATTCTCTCAGTCTCTGTCTCAAACACAAGGTCACCCACAAATGCTGAAGAGCCTTCTGGCCAAAGTCCCACGGGGAACATCAACCTGCAGGCGCACCTCCCTGCACGGAGCCGGAAAGCACCCAAAGCCCGGGAGGGAAGCCGGCTCTGGCGACCAGGAATGCGGCTGGGGAGCAGGTAGTGACCACGCCTCTCCCGGCAGCCCGGCCAGGACCTCGGGTATTGGTACGGTGAGAAGGAGGGCGCCTTCAGTGTGGACAGAATAAGGGTTCTCCCCACGCCCTGCAAGGACCCTCCCCCCCAGGGTCCTCCCGAGTAAAAAAAAAAAACAAAAAACAAAAAAACAAAAAAAACCTGCCCTTCAAGGGGAGGTAAGTGCCTCCCAGGAGAAGCCCTCGAGCGGCACAAAGCAACGTCTCCGCGGCCGGGGAGGCTGGTTCCAGCGGCCCCCTCCTCAGCAGACGGGCACCCTGGCCGCTCCGGGTGACAGGCGAGGGAGGCGGGCACACCCCACCGTCTCCCACTCCCGAACTCCCAGCCTTCCCTTCCGAAAGGCTTTCGATGCTGCGCCTCTTCCTCTCCCGCTCGGCCCCCATGCCGCCTCTCGCCAGAGCCCTCTCCGCCCAGCGTGTGGGTCCCTCGCCAGCCCCTCTGCCCGGTCCCCCGGCCTCGGCGACCCCTCCACTCGGCCCTTTTCCTCCTCAGCTCCCAAGCCGCGCGGTACCTTAAGCGTCACGTCGCACAGCTTGCCCTGCCGCCGGATCTCCTCCATGACACCGTAGCCGCGACTGGGCAACTCGGACACCGAGAAGTGCACCAGGTCTTCCAGCTCCTCCGCGCCGTCCTCCACCATCTTCCAACGCCGCCGCAACTGCGCAGGCTTGGCCGGCCGGCCCCACACTAACCAGGGCGGGGCGAGGATGCACGCCGACGGCGGCTCCGAGCGTGGGGCCAGAGCCCAAGAAGCCTGCGCGGCCGCCGTAGTCCAAACTCCTCTGCGCCGGAAGCCCCGCAGCCCCGTTTCCTGATTCATACTCCGCCTCCCTTTCCTGACTACATCGACCTAGATTTCGTTTGGGCAACTGCGGTAGTCCTTCGAGACTAATTAGCCTCATCTCCCGTCTCCCAGATACCGCCCTAACTTCACCCCGGATCCCGGACGGAGGACCGTGGACTCTCATTTCCGCCACCTTCCTCGACTTCCGGCGTCCCCCCCCCGCAACGACCCGTTGCCGTGGCAACCGTATACAGCCCGGCTGCAGTGCCAGCGGTTCGGAGCTGTCAGTGTTTGCAACCTTTGCGCTGCTGGAGCGCGGCCACCTCGAGACTTGTGAGGGTGGAGAGCAGGGAGACGGCCGAGGGAGGCCGCCGGGCCGGGGAGGGTGGGGAGGAGGGAGACGGGGCTGCGAGCGCCGCTTCCTCGGGCGTTGTTACCGGCGTCCCTGTCAGGGTGACCCGGGAAGGACCGAGTCTGCCCTCCCACCCGGCAGGGGTGCCTGGCGGCAGTTCTGTCCATTCCCTGGAGGAGAGGACACGTTCCCACAGGCTCTGCTACTGGACGAGAAGGGCAGTAACGAGCGAACGGGAGCTGTGGTCAGGGGCTGAGCAGGCTTCCTGTACCTGGAAACCGAATGTCACCGGGCAGAGCTGTGGGCTCCGGGCGAGGGGTGCCGTGGAGAGGGTGACATTGTGTGCCCTTGGGACCCACCAGTGGCCGCCTTGAGACTTCCAGCCAAGAACCTGCCCTGTGCTGGGCATTGTTCTGGTGGTGGATTCAAGGGGGGAGAAAAGGCACATTGCTTGTCCCCAGACAGCTTGTAATGAGGCTGCCCATTAAGGCACCAGCAAGGGTCCAGCGCGATAGCTTAGTGGCTAAAGTCTTCACCTTGAACTTGCCGGGATCCCATGTGGGCACTGGTTTGTGTCCCGGCAGCCCCACTTCCCATCCAGCTCCCTGCTTGTGTGCTAAGAAAGCAGTCGAGGACAGCCTAAAGCCTTGGGACCTTGCACCCACATGGGAGACCTGGAAGAGACTCCTGGCTCCTGGGTTTGAATCAGCTCAGCTGCGGCCATTGCGGCCACTTGGGGAGTGAATCATGGGATGGAAGATGTTCCTCTGTCTCTCCTCTCTGTGTGTCTGACTTTGCAATAAAAATAAATATTTAAAAAAAAAAAAAAGCCAGCAAGCAGTATGGGAGGAGGGGCAGGATGGCACAGGCTTCCCAGACGCCTGGGTAGTGGGGAGCCGCTGAGGGGAAGGTCCTCAGGAGGGCGTACATGACTCAAGAAGAAGGCTTAGCGCTTGTGGGCATGGCTGCTGGCATGCTTGAAGACCTGGCAGAGCATGGAGAGAGCATTTAGTACATTGCAGGCAGAGAAGGGGGCAGGCTTTGGTGGGAGAGTGGGGTGACCCTTGCATTGCCCGTGGTTGGGGGCTTCAGGGAGGGAGGGCTGGCCTAGCATGCTGAGTGATACCTGAACTTCCCGGGCCCTTGTGGCTGGTGTGAGGAGCAGTCCTCAGAGCTTTGGGAATTCAGTGTGTTTGAATCAAGCATTCAAACCTCCGCCCAGCTTCTCCACACCATAGTTCAAAGTGAAGTTGGCAGATGAGATGTTCATTGCCCTGTCCTCGGTTTGGGGTGTGTATTAGAGCTGTCTGTGGTGTTTTACTTTTACAGCTCAAATTGCAGACAGTAATGTTAGAACTTCACATCGGACAAGCCGTCACCTCTGCTTTTTGCAATAGCCTTCAGATTCACGAAATACTAACTTTGAGAAATGCAAAAAGTATGTGCACACTCAACAGGCAAATATGTAAGTGCAAGTTTCCTTCTTAGACATCCAGAGAGCTTGAAAAGGATCAGTTTTGTTTTGTCCATGTCATTGAAGCAGTAAGCTGAAAGGGCAGCATGTGTCTGTCTTGCTTCTTAATGCAAGGAAATCAAGTGGTCACCATAAATTGTGTTTGTAAGTATGGAAGATTATTATGATTTTAAAAGATCTGGAGTCAATTTTGGTTAGGTAACATTGAACTTTTCTTGGATAATTATATCTGAAACATTGTCATTCCTTCTTCAACATACTTATACAGTCTTTCTTTTTGGAGAAGCTGAGAGACAAGCAGAAGAGCAGGAGAGAGAGTCCATCTGCTGGTTCATTCTCTAAAGGCCTGTAGCTCTCTCTGATAAGGGCTGCAGCCAGGAGCCAGGAGTTCAGGTCAGGCCTCTGCTTCCTAAGGCAGCAGCTCTTCTATGTAAGATTTATTTGTTTTTATTGTGAAGGCAGATTTACAGAGAGGAGAGACAAGAGAGAAAGCTCTTCGATTTGGTGGTGCACTCCCCAAACGGCCATCACTGTGTCTCCCAGGGTCTGCATTAGCAGGAGTCCGGAGCTGGATGGAACACCGTGATATGGGGATGCTGGTGTTCTAACTGCAAAGCCAAACATCCACCCATACATTCCGGCTTCCAGATTGAAATTGTCAGCTCCCTCTGCCTCAAGGGTACCGAGCCCTTCATACAGTCAGCACATTCCTTTGATAGTTGTCTTTTTCAGAAGTATTTCTAGGAGTTTTCTTCGGCTTGATTTTGTCCTCCCCTATGAACATACAGGTTCTTTTAAGAGTAAATGTTTCAACCCTGAAAAGAAAACAAGAGAACTGTGGTATCTATCCTTTGGCCTTTTCTCAATTTAGATTCTGTTTTGTATATTATGGGGAATTAGTACTAAATTGATTTTTTATGTGCCTTGTGTTCATTGTTCTGTGAAAGTGAAATTATTGAAACTTAAAAAGCTCAGTCTTAAGGACTGATAGTGATAGTATTCAAAATTTAAAATTCAAAATTTTGAAAAGGAAGTAAATATTAGACTGTTCTTCCCTCCCTGTCTACAGATGCAGGAATGAACCATCGAATGGAAGATCTTCCTCTCTGTCTCTCCTCTCTGTATATCCGCCTTTCCAATAAAAATAAAATAAATCTTAAAAAAAAAAAAAAAAGACAGGGAGAGAGGAATTTTAATCTACCAGCAGACAGACTGGTTGTTCAAGCTGGATGGAGTTCTGTGTGATGCCTCCCAGGGCTCATTTTATGAGACAGTCACCAAGGAAGTCATTTCTGAGGCCCTCAGTGACTGTAAGGATAATTTGGTTCATTAAATATTGTCTCTCCCAAGGAGCCCTTCCAGATGGAAAAGGTGCAAGGATTTTATAGTGAATAAAGTGAAATAAAACTTCACTTATTACATGAAGACATTTGTATGCTTAGTTTTCTCTATATTATGTTAGAAACCATTTTTTGTAACATTGCCTGTTAAAAACATTGCCTGTTGAAAGCTTGATTGCCTGTCCCTGGGATCCTGCCATCATCAGAGATTAAATGAAGCTGCCTTCTGGCAAGGTGTTTAGCCCAGAAGTTAAGAGCCCCATTAGGACACCTGTGTAATAGACTAACAGAGTACCTGGGTTTGATAACCAGCTCCCTGGCTTCTGAGTCTACCTTCCTGCTAATGCAGACCCCAAGGGGGCAACAGTGATAGCTCCAGAAATTCCACCCACAAGGGACCCCGGTTGTGGTCCCAGCTCCCACCTTTGCCCATTTCCAGCTGTGTCTAAGTTTATTTCAGAGTACTAAGAAGGTTAGAAATCCTTAAAACAACCTGGGGTGGGTGGGAAACTGGGTGGGGCTTTTCCCTCAATATCCCCTTTACCTCAGACATATGAAGGAAACAACATGGAAATAATAGTCTTACCCACTTTCCTATAGCCCTTGTACCTTTTTACCCTAATTAACTATGTAAAGATTGTCAAAAATATCATTTTTTTTAAAAAAGAAATCCTTAAAACAGAATTATCAGTTTGTTGACTTTGCCATCTAATGGCTACTGACTAGAATGTTGAGTAGGGATGCTCAAGCACTAAGTTGTCCCCACTGACCCAAGGGTATTTTGATTGGTTTTCCTGACATTCTGAAATGTATCATGTGAGATGGGAACCAAGGCCTTGGATCGGGAGAATTGTGAAAATACAAATAGGTTTTTTGTTTCAACTGAATTGACAATTCCTTTCTGTTGAGTTTGTTGACCTAATAGATAGTTTCTGGCTCAAGATGCGGAGGAAGATTCCCTCTTGTCAAGCCTGCTGCCAATCCCAAGGACGGGGCATATGTAGGACAAAGGTAAATGTGGCTTCCCTGTCCCATGGTTATCCCAGCAGATCTGCTGTGTCAATGTCCAGCAGCAACTTTTGGGTTGAGATCTGGCTCAAGCTTCCCAAGCCAAGAGGAAGAGCAGGTGGACCCCAGGGTGACTGTGTATTCCAAAACCAGGTGGGGGTGGTAGCCCTACAGGTGTAAGAGGTACAAATGGAAGTGTGCCCAGTGTGGGCAGTGGCACCAGATCATGGCCTGGTCAAGGTGGTCCATTTCTGGACCAGGAGCCACATTGGGTCCTATGGGAACTTGACGTCTACAAAGTATTCTTAGCATTGGCAGAAAATGGCCTCCTCCTTTCTTTTCTTCCTTCCTTTCTTCTGCCCTGCCTCTTTCTCTTCCTTTATCTATCTATGTAACTATGTATGTATCTATCTACCTAGGTTTTGAAAGCCCTTCTTGACTTGGAAAAATTGATGCTTCCTGCTATCTGAAACCCTAGCAGCTCTCGGCCTTGCTAGAGAAGATTCTTCTTCTTTTTTAAAGATTTATTTATTTTTTTAATTATTTATTTTTATTGTTAAGTCAGCTATACAGAGAGGAAGATCTTCCATCCGATGATTCACTCCCCAAGTGAACGCAACAGCCGGTACTGCACTGATCCAAACCAGCAACCAGGAATCTCTTCCGGGTCTCCCACGCGGGTGCAGCATCCCAAAGCTTTGGGCCGACCTTGACTGCTTTCCCAGGCCACAGGCAGGGAGCTGGATGGGAAGTGGAGCTGCCGGGACTAGAACCGGTGCCCATATGGGATCCCAGCGTGTTCAAGGCGAGGACTTTAGCTGCTAGACCACGCCACCAGGCCCAAAGATTTATTTATTTTTATTGAAAGGCAGATGTACAAAGAAGAGGAGAGACAGAGAGGAAGATCTTCCATCCAATGGTTCACTCTCCAAGTGATCGCAATGGCTGGATCTGAGCCAATCCGAAGCCAGGAGCTCTTCTGGGTGTCGCACATGGGTGTAGGGTCCCAAGGCTTTGGGCCATCCTCAACTGCTTTCCCAGGCCACAGA